GGGCAATATGGGACAGCAGCACCACTTTCAACTCTCAACCTCCTCCCCACTGCCATTTCAAGTCCCCAAAAGGGAATTAGGGTATGAAGAAACTGAAGCAAATTGTATAGTAAATTAGCTGAATTTATAACCTTCCCTCTGAACATTGAATTCTCTAATGATCTTGAAATCAGTCTCATGGGAGCTGCTCTTCACACTTTTTTGAATATGGGACAGCAGCACCACTTTCAACTCTCAACCTCCTCCCCACTGCCATTTCAAGTCCCCAAAAGGGAATTAGGGTATGAAGAAACTGAAGCAAATTGTATAGTAAATTAGCTGAATTTATAACCTTCCCTCTGAACATTGAATTCTCTAATGATCTTGAAATCAGTCTCATGGGAGCTGCTCTTCACACTTTTTTGTACTAATTTAACTATACCAAAATAAACAACATGCAGAAGGGCATTTTTATATAACAATCCATTTTCATAAAAATAACTATTAACATATTGTAATCTAGCAAATATATAAATTAAGGCACATACACCCATCTTTTTCAGACTCGGGGTACATCTACACTGCTATGTAAGCCCAAAATTCAAACTCTGGCTCAAGCCTAATCCCCTTTCCATCTGCACATAAGTTGCACTACCCCAGCATTCAGACCTCTAAGGCCAGATTTACACTAAACCTGGAAGGTCGGTTTAAGGTGCGCAACTCCAACTATGTAAAATACATAGCTGGAGTTGGCATACCTTAAGCTGAGCTTGATGGTGTCCACACAGCAGAAGGCCAATGGGAACAGATGCTACCCTCAGTGTTCGATTTATGGGTCTATACTAGACTCACTAAATTGAATGCCAGAACATCAATCTCTAGCGCAGCAAGTGAAGATGTGCCCTAAGGGTGTGAACCCTGTCAAGCCAGGGCCCGCAGTGCTTAATTGCTTTGCAAAGTAGATGTAGTCCATCTAGACTCAGGCTCTGGAACTCCATTAAAATTATTTCATCATCCCATAGGTTGACTTTCTTTGTCCTGTGAACAATAAAATTTGGTGCACAATTGAGTTTTTATGCACTGTTTCACCAAGGACTAGAGTGGCCAGATTTTAGGTGGTATTAGAAAGTCTGAGATAAGGGTAGTTGAACTTTGGCCCACAAAATGCAAAGCAGACACAGAACCCCCAAGTTGGGAACCAG